ATTTTGCTTCCCTCGTTATCAGCAAATTATTCTCCAAGAGTAAATGTTATTGGCTTCAACCTGCAATTATATCATTTTTATTTATATAATGGAAGGAATTGTTATGTGATAAATAAATGTAAGGTTTATTTGAGACATACTTTCCATCAACCAACACAATCTCCTTGATATTTTGACTACCCCTTCTTGTGGGAATGAGTTCTTTTGGGAGTTTATCTATCACAACACCCACAAGTGCTCTGGGGAAAATAAAACTTCAAAAAATGGGTACACATGAGGTTCGTTTTTGCATAGATATAAATAAATTTAATGTATGGAATTATAGAGGGTTACATATTTCAGAGCCAAATTCCATGCACTAGTAAACCTCAAAGAAAATGTTGTACACTTTGTTATTCGCACTGATGAAACCAGATAATCACGTAACGGTTGGATGATTGTACATCCACTTAATATCCATATATCCATAGAACACTTTAATTAGTGTGTGGACGTCTCACATTCACATTGGAGATGGTGTAGCAGGAGTTAAGATGGAGTGGAGTTGTATATTGGGATGTCGTTATCAAAAACCAGTGCTTGAACTCGGATTAGCTTTTTAATCATGATTGATAAATGTGTTTAGAATGAATAGTGATTCCATAATAAAGGAGAATGCCTAGAATGAATAGTGTTTTAGAATGTCACATAAGTCCTCTTTCTCAACTTGAAGTAGCATGCCTACCTGTGCAATATTTTTGAGTGTTATTTTTATGCTCAATTTAATAATCAAAGGTTTTTGTTGCTTCTAACTTGTGAAGTGGGTTGTGGACCGCCTGTTAACTTATCAAAGATAATCCAAACATACATCTTGTTACCATGAACTCAATTATACAAAATAATACATAACGTTTCATACCCTTGTGTTAAGAATCATATCAGACTCAAGTGTTTTTTAGTTATTCAAAATGAGAGTATGTCTTATGTGAAATTTCATGTTTATAATATCTTCAACATGAATAAGGGAGCTGTGCAAAATGAGGGACCAACATATGTCACATATGACCTTCCCGCTTGTGGTTGATTTAAACAATCATTTTTATTCAAATAAAAAATATGTTCTATAACAGGCCCTTTTAAAAAACAAAAAATTCAACATTAGGCATGTATTGGCATTATTATGCAAATTTCATTAGTTCAGTGTGTTTTATATTGTACGCATATTCCCAGAAAGTTGCAACAGGTTACAATTTGCTTAAATTGTTGATAATTTTGTTTATTTTCAACAAGAAATAAAGAGTTCTACAATTTTATCTACCAATTAACCTCCGGCAAGGAAATGTAAGTTTTGGGCCTCCAACACAAGGCTCTACACATATATAGTTTCACATTTATGTTACAACCTACTTTAATCTCTATCATTGATTCACAAAAAAGTGCCAAAATTTATATAATCTTTTTAAACCACATGTGGTTTTATATAATCTCTTCCCCAAACTTTTGTACTACAAGAACAAATATTCAGTAATCTCTTTTTTGGTAACCAAATATTCACTACAATCTGTTACATATATTAGTAAATATAATGTGGATATAAAGTTTGTAGTTTGTATAATTTTAGAAATTCACTTAATTGATTTTAAGTGGATTAAATCAACACCCACAAATTTGGATGATAAATGAATAGTCCATACTGAAGTTGTGGAATAAAAATTATTTAGGATGATAACATGACTTTAAAAAATGACAGTTACATTGGGTGTTGGGATAATTTTGTGGGTACGACGAAAACGCCTTTGTGCTATTGTGTGGGAAAAAACAATAGCGCAAAGGAAAAGTCAAATTTTAAACCTCATAGCGTATTAGAAGACCACAAAATAGATACGTACACACTAATGCCTAGCAAAAGTTGCCACTGTTTCAATTTAAAAATACACTCAACCTTCGTCATATTAGAGTCCATTAAAAAGCCAAAAACGTCATTTAAAAAGAAACTATATCCTCTTTTATACATGTTTGTATATTGTGAAATAACAATTAGTTATTATTTTTGTTTAGCCAATAATGGTGCAGAAAACTTTTAAACTGCAAGCGGAGAGAAATTGTGTGGCAGTTCATGAAGTTATTATTTAAGTAAATACCCCCTCCGTCCCTCTAACTTTGTCTTGTTTTACCTTTTTCGTCCGTCCCATTAAGTTTATCCCATACCATATTAGGTAATGTTTGAGTGGTTAGAATTCATTCTTACTTTATTCACACTTTATCAATTCAATACCAACCACAAAATTCTACTTTTTCTTAAAAACCACACCACACCCCTTTGTCCCAAACTTAGGAGGACGGAGGTAGTATATATAATAGGGAAAACTGTCAAATAAGTCCATCTACTTTTACGAAAAAAGTCAATTGAGTTCTCTTACTTTAAAATGAATCAATCGGGTCCTCAAAGTGTTAAATTATCACCAAATTAGCCATTTCGTAGGTTACCAGTCGGTAACCCAGTTAACTGTCCATGTGGATGTCCAGTTGGCCCTCATTTTACTATTTTCTATTTTTTTACGGAGTATAATTTTTCCTTTTCTTTTCTTTTTACTCTTTCTTCTTTTTTTCTTTTCTTTTCTTCCTTTTTTCTCTTTCTTTCTCCCTTACTGCTCGAAGACCTTTCTCCGAGACTTGGTAATGGCTGCCAGATTCTCACAATTCACAAAGCCTCTCCAGTCTGCAACTTAGTGAAAAATCTGTACCTGGGCAAAGTTCGTCAAGCGCGAGTGCGCAGAGCTACAATCTGGAAAGGAGAAGCTTGTTGTGCTTCTACGGCAAGCCAAACGGCCGACGCGGCGGACCATCGACGGCACCTGACAGGCGGACAGTTTATGGCCAAAACTTCAAATCTTTAATACTAGTCCTAGATTCTTCAACTTTCTGCCTCTACGGAAGAACACGTCGGAGAATCCCTCATCTTCCCGGCCTGCATCGCCTCTAACGAGCCCATCCTCCACCCCGTAATCCCATATGAGAGCAGATCGTTATTCTCCCAGTGACAATGAAAGGTGCAATGCGCAAATTACAAAAAAAAAAAAAAAAAAAAGAGAGGAAGAAACAAAGAAGAAAGAAACAAGAGTTGCAGGGAGGAGCTGCAGACTCACAGGGACAAAGAAGAAACAAAGAGAAAAGAAGGAAGAAGAAAGAGAAAAGAAAAATCGACTTGTAATACCTGATAGACTTGATTGATTCTTTTTGAAGTGCATGGACTTAATTGACTTTTTCATAAATCTACAAAGACTTATTTGATAGTTTTCCCTATATAATATGATAGCAGTGGTGATGGTGCTAAATGATGTTTACTTGTTTGTCTTTGAGTAGAATTTGCATGAAACGTTGACAACTATTGTGGTTGACTCCCTTTCATCAATTTTTTTCACAACACGTATTTGACAACTCCATCCTCTCATTTGTGGGATGATGTCCACTAACTCAAATGCACTTGACAAAGTAACTAATATACATTGTATGAAAATTATTTAATGTCAAAACAATTTTAGTAAAATTAGAGAATGTGTAGGACTAACCTGTTTGGTTGCAGGTTCTTTGCATGCTTCATTCATTATCTCTCGATACTGTGACATATAATTCACCATTCGAGAAAGTTGGTTCTTTTAGGTATAGCCCAACAAAATTGAGTGTTTGCCCTTATGCCTTATTTATTGTCAAAGCCTTATTAGGTTGCCTTTTAGGTTGCCTTATTTATTGTCAGAGCAAAGCAGACCTTGATAGGGAATTGATGTCGCTTGAGTGGTAATAGACAATTATCATCATTCGAAGGTTCAAGGGGTATTTTGGTACAAAAAAATGTTTTCCCTTGTGTTCTCCCGATACTATGAACAACTAATAACATGATCTCGAAAGTCATCACATATTAAGTGGATCCTATTACACAACCCTCCAACAGGGTTAAGGTTTAATTAGTAGTAAGATTACTGAGCTTTTTTTTTTCAACACCAACTTGTGAGAAGGTAAGCCAGACAATGTGATTGTGTGTAGGGAGCCTGCATACTCATGGTGCGAAAACAGATCGATCAACTCATCATAACTAGTGCAGCAGTTCTCTTTACCAGGCATGGTACGTGGCAATCAAGGTGTTATTTAGGCCATCGACAAACTCATTTTTGGTTGTCAGTGTGACTCGCTTCATCATTGGGTATGGGTTACTGCAAGGTTTTAAATAGCGGCCCGCTACCGCTATAGCGGCCGCTATATAGCGGTCGCGGTAGGGGACGCTACCGCTACACGCCGCTATTTCGTTGTGATTTCCAAATCACGGGAAAAATCCGCTACGCCGCCCGCTACAGCCCGCTATTGGCAATTCCGGCAATACGTCACGAACGGGTTAATGTGTAAATGTGTCTATGTTGTGTGAATGATGTGAAAAAATACATTAATGGTGATGCGTGGAGTGAAACTCCAAATGAAATGTACATCTATCCACATTATGGTAGCAAATATTAATACACATGTAAATTATAATTATCTTTATTAATTAATTATTAATAAAGATGATTTACCTTTAATATCGATTGACGAAAAAAATGTTGACTTAACAAAACAATTCGGAACGGTAATGGTATTATTATGGATTATGCAAATGAAATTGGAAATGGAACACAAATACTCTGTATGTATTATTATTAATTTGGAATTGGACTTAACATAAATTGTTCTATTCGTTTTTTTTAATATACTGTTTAATAAGGACACTAATCTTGCTTTATTAAAACAATTAAATTACTCCGTACCATCATTTGTTGACTACCTAGCTATTATTAAAAGCTACTTAACTAAATTACTCCGTCCCCTACTTTTCTAAAATTAAAAGTTGGTACCTAGCTACTTGCTATTATTATGGAGTATGGGACCAAGCTATTATAAAATATGACTACCTCCAACTTACTCCTTAGTCCTTGCTGCATGCGTACACCATAAAATGTTAGATAGAAGTACTATATAGTTACTCCATGTGTACTCCAAAGTCCATACTCCACTTTTCAAGTTATTGCATTCTCTTTTTTTCATGCAAGCTAAGTTAGTTCTATTATTTTCTCCTTTTTTTTATTTGTTTAGGTGTTAAATTTGTATTAAATCTCTACAATGCCACCAAGAGAAGAAAATCAAGAAATATTCCCCAGAACAAGTGTTGAAGGTGCTCCAAGCACATACATTGGATGGCACTTTCGAAAGCCAGTTAGAGAAAATCGGAGCCACGTCCAATGCAAACTCTGTCAAAGAGTTTTGAAAGGCGGCATCACAAGATTGAAGGAACACATAGCACACAAGAAAGGGCAAGTTGCGGGTTGTGCTAGAGTGACCACATTCGTTAGAACAAATATGATGAACCTTCTTCTTGATGGAAAGGCCAAGAAAATAGACTCAAAAAAAAAAAGAAAAGAAGAATTTGAAGCACGCTTAAGAGGTGAAGATGATGATGAAGATGAGGATGATCCGGATCATAATCTTAGAGAACAAAGGTCTCGTGATGTGTCTTTCACTTGAGGTCTAGTAACAGTGATCTTACACGGAGCAAAAGTCAGAAGCAACCAAAGATCAAAGGAGGCTTCATGAAGACGCTGAGGAAAAAACTTGGAGATGCTGTAAGCAAGTTAATAATTCATGAACGTTTACCTATGAATTTAGCTAATTCTCCATGGTTGAATAATTTAATTGTTGCTGCGGCTGAGGTAGGTGAAGGGGTCAAAGGCCCAACTCCTTATGAAATCTCTAACATATATTTAGAGAATGAATATAATGATATGTGTGAGTGGTTGAATACGTTGAAAGGTTCATGGAAAGAAAGAGGGGGTGACAATAATGTGTAATGGTTGGACTGATAATATTAGTCATACTCACATTATGAATTTTTTAGTGCATAGTAGTAGAGGCACAATTTTTCTAAAATCGATTGATGCTTCTAATGTTGCTAGTAGAAATACTGATTACTATTTTGAGCTGTTAGATAAAGTGGTTGAAGAAGTAGGAGAAGAATTTGTTGTACAGGTGGTTACAGATAATGAAGGGGCCCTAAAAGCAGCAGGGCGAAAATTGATGGAAAAGAGACCACATTTATATCGGACTGCTTGTGCAGCTCATTGTATTGATCTATGTCTGGAGGACATAGGGAAGAAGAAAAATGTCCAGAAAGTATTAAGTGATGGCAAGATTGTGACAACTTTTATCTACAATCACACTTGGACAATAAATCTGATGACAAAATATACTGGAGGTAGACAAATTGTTCGGCCTGGGATTACCAGATTTGCTACACAATTCTTACAAATACAAGCAATCGTGGAGCAAAAAAGAGGTTTAAAAAACATGTTCAACTCTGAAGAATTTAGACGATCTAAATTTGGGAAAGAGAAAAGTGGGCCGGTATGTGAAGCCAAAACAATTGTTCTAGATAACAACTTCTGGACTAAGGCGAATGACATTCTCAAAATTTTTGAGCCTTTAGTGAAAGTGTTGAGACTAGCAGATGGTGACGATAAGCCTACCATGGGTTTCATATATGAAGCAGTTGATAGAGCTAAACAATCTATCCGACAAAATTGTCGTTTTCATGCTACATATAATGCTATCGTTGACGAAAGATGGAAATTCATGCATTCAGATCTTCATTCTGCCGGTATGTGAATGAAATTTTACTTATGTTGTTATTAAATGATTTAAACATTATAACCTATTTCATTTTTTGAAATTTTTAGGTTATTATCTTAACCCGCAATTTCAATACGGAGTAGAACATGGAGGTGATGTCCTGTCAGAGACATTTGATGGAACAACTAAAGTTATCTCTCGATTAGAAAGAGATGTGGACGACCAAATTCAAGCTTTGAATCAGGTTAAGTGTTATATCTTTTAAATGTTCATTAATTAATGTATTTAACTGAAATTTCACATTATTTCATTCGTGTAATTAATGTGCATTCTACATTTTTACTTCTCCGTAGACTGCATAATGTAAGTTGGTACAAATTTATAGATTGCCTATTAATTGCCTTCTGTGTTAATTAATGTATTTAAATTATGATTAAATTTAAGTAGATGAAAGATGTAACTTTATAGATTAAGGGCTTGTTTGCAATCACTTAACAAAAGTGATTTTGGTTTTCTTTTAAGAAAAAAACACTTATTTTATCAAACACTACCAACTTTTACTTTCTCGATTTTCGTATAGAATCTACTTTTTACTTTTTCTATTACACAAAAAGTACTTATTTTACCAAACACTACCAACTTTTACTATTAATCACTTTTTCCCAAAAAGTACTTTTATTTAAGCACAAATGGTTGCAAACAAAGCCTAAAGTTGATAATACATGAAGGTTTGCAAAAAACGAAAAGTTATTAGCTGGGTCTGCACACTCTGTACTCATTATGTCCTACACTCCTACGGTCCTACCCAATATGACACTCCACTATTAATAGAAAAGTACTCGTCTAGCAACCACAATTTAGTCTACCAACTTCACAACTTGGACTGAAAAGTTGACTACCAACCACTATTCAATGAACCCACACACATACTCGGTCCTTAGTTCCTTACTACTTGACTCTAAAAGTTGTCATGTACTCCCTCCGTCCCCTTTTAAATGTTCCGGAGGAGAGTGACACGAGTTTTAAGAAAAGTGAGTTTGTATAATCATATTAAAGATCTTAAAAATTTATGAATTATGATATAATTATTGAACAAATTGAAGAACAAGAACTAACAAGAGATGATGAATTTATATAGGACCGATTGACCAAATAAGTCACACTCAAACATATTAAAAGATTCCCCTATTAACGTCCGTTCATACATAGTCAGTGACTTTGTTCTGCACTCTGCATATACAAGAACATTAGTCTTATTTTAATACATTTTGTACTACTCAAATTAAATAACTGAATTGAAACATATTTTTTTACTCCATAGTATTTTTTTATTTTACACGTGAAAATAAAGACTGACACATTTCTACTATTCTTTGTTAGTTAATGATTTTTAAAGAAAAGCGTGAAACATTTGGTACGCCCCAAGCTCAAAAGGCGTGGGCTAAAATGAATCCAGGTCAAATTTTAGTTTTAATTGTATATATTTATAAATATTAATATACATTTATTAAATATTGTCATAGTTAAAAAAGTATTTAAATAATTCTTTTGTGATCTTTTTTAAAGCTGAGTAGTGGATGATATATGGTGGATGTGCTCCAGAACTTAAACGTGTTGCCGTAAAAGTTCTAAGTCAAACAACGTCAGCAACAAATTGTGAGAGAAACTGGAGCACATTCAGCTATATACACACCAAGAGCAGGAACATATTGAAGTATAAGAAGTTGCAAAAATTAGTCTTCACCCAGTACAACATGAAGCTTAAAATGAGACATCAGATGAGAAGAAGTCAAGAAGAAATCGAGGAGAGTTTTAATCCGATTAATCTTGACTATATTTTCGAAGAAAGTGATGCATTATCTCCATGGATTGAAGAGAGGGAGAATCCATTATTAGACGGACTGCAAAATTCTTCATGGTTGCCTTTGATGGACACCGATGATGAAGATATGGAAGGCGGAAATGATGATGATGATGATGATGATGGTGATGGTGATGATGGTGATGGTGATGATGGTAATGGAGGATTCGGGGACCCCAATAATGATGGTAATGATGACACTGCGAGTGAGATTCAGACTGATTTCCAACCCACGAGGCGTTATAGGAGTTTAATTGATATGACTACCGATCATCCTTCATTGTGCGAGAGTAGTGGAACCGGGTCAAATAGGAGAAGAGGAAACAGACATCATAATGTTCCATTAGATGATGCATCATATTCGAGTGTTGGAACGAATTTCGGTTATAGTGGTAATGATGAATCTTCCAATAGTACTCACTATTATGTGCCATTTGATCAGTATCCCAATGTCACCTCTTATGATCAATATGGAAATGATCAAGCTTCTTCATACTACCAACCATCCACATATCAAGATCCGTATTACCAAGAAACAAGTAGTGGATTATATGATTATGTTTTCCTACAAGGATATTATCAGGATGATGGTCAGAGTGAAAGCAGAGGTTGTGATCCCCCACGCCACTCCACCATGTGGTAGGAAGAATAATGTAAGTTACTACATTTCTTTTAATAATAATAATAATAATAATAATAATAATTATAACTATTTTTATTATTATTTTTTATTTATTAATTTATTTGACTTATCATGTTTTTTTTAAGGGAAGTTCGCACTGAAGATGCATTTGTAGGTGGTGACGATGTAGTATTTGAAACTTTTTGTAACGTATCATTTAATGTAACAATCTATTTAATTTAAAAATGTGATAAGACTTGTTTAGTTTGAAGACAATTTCATTGTGTCTGTAATAAATTATTTAGTTTACCAATCGTTTTAATTATCATTCTCTTTTAATTGTCATATTTTTATTGGTTTATTAGTTGTTAATGTTATAAGTGTTAAAAAAAATATTCATAATGTTTGTATTAACTTCAACACTCATTAAATATATGTTTTGCGCAATTGAAAATATTTCACGCCGCTGCAATCGCTACAGTCGGCTACAGGCCGCTACAGGCCACTACCGCGATGACCGCTGCCACTACGGCTATTTAAAACCTTGGGTTACTGATGAATTCGTTTAGGTTTAGGAACACGATGTCAAGCAACTTGTTCAAAGATTCAGTTTCTGTTGTGTATGGAATAAGAAATGATTCTAGAATTTCAATAGAATATCCAAAAATAGTTTTCTGAGTTCCATTACCCGCCTACATCAAATATTCTGAAAAATATGTATCTTCTTTTGCTCGCATATTTTGGGGTCAAGACTAATCTTTCAATTGATGGCCAAATAGTTTCAGAGCTGACTAAATTGGTTGCAATTAAATCTCTCCTGCTTCCAGCCCTAATTACTAGCAAGGTTTGTCGAACATCACCTCCAAATACTACTACTTTATTGCCAAATATGTTATCACAATTTCTGATATCTCGCAGTGTGCTGTCAACATTTTTTATCGTTCTCCGATTGACCATTGTTGTTTCATCCCACAAAATCAACTTGCAGTCTCTTATTAATGTTGGTTCAGCACTTTGCTTTCTATATTGCACACGAACTTATCATCTGTATTTATCAATATTTTCAACCTGGAATGGGCTGTTCGGACACTAGGCAAGAGTGAAGCTGCAACACCAGAGGCTGCTGTTGCAAGTGCAATTTCACGATTTGGTCGTATTTTCACCAAGATGCATCTATATAAAAAAGTTTTTCCAGTACTGTCAGGCCCATCTACGAAGAATAATAGGCCCCCTATTACCAGAGTGAACACAACTTATTATTGTGTTGAATGCTGCTTATTGAGGTGTATTCAACGTTCGAATAACCAATTAATCAACCTCATTAGGCAACAAGCTCCTTTCTGCTTGTATCTCCTTTTGAATTGTTTGCGCTTTGGTAATACCTAAATGATTCAGTCATACAACAATGTTTGGAAGATGCAATGTGTTGGCAAATGCCTTTGAGCTTTAGTAAGTTACTTACAACACTTAAATGCTTTAATAGGGTTGAATATTAGTTCTTTACCAATAATTATGAATACGATGTCGCTAATATATTCTCAACTCCGGTTAAGGCAGCGAGAACGTGGTTTTCGTTACGTGTAAGTCCCGTTACGGCTTACATTCATCTATCGAAAACCCCGTTGAATATCAATACATCACACCCGTATCATATAATACCGGATATATTTCTATTCTCGGTAATATATATGTTTATCCTTTAATGTTCATAGTTTAGACCTCAACGTTAATTGCAAGCATAAACTAAGTTTAACATATTTCTATGTTGTACACCATAGTCATAAACAATCAAAATGTAAAGGATAAATCACAATTTATTGGTTTAGAACTTTTATCAAACACCTAGTGGACATAGAAGTTCATCCCTAGCCTTAGCTAAGAAATTAGCCTCTAATGCTCATATTAATCAACATACAATATTGAAATGTAATGGAACATGAAATTACAAAGGAAATAATACCTAAACACCAATGGTTTCAGAGGTTGAAGTTTCCTCCTCAAGAACTTGAAGAACAATAGCAAAAACAAAGTATGAAAACTAGGAATTAAAGTATGGAATGAGATGTGTTTGAATGATGAATTGAGGGCTTTATATAGGCTAAAGAATGACATCTTTTAGTCTATTCGAGCCCAACAATAAGGTATGGAAGCAATATTTGATCACACTTGAGGAAGATGAAGTTTTCCCATCAAAAATCCTCTTGCACGTTGGACTGTTTTGTGCAGAATCGGACCTACCCAGCGCCGGTTTCAGGCCTACCCGGCGCCGGTTCTTCGTTGTGTGCAGGGAAAACTGGAAATTTTGGCCTACCCGGCGCTGGGTATAAGGCCTACCCGGCGCCGGGTAAGCTACTGGTTTGTGCCATGCGAAAATTAACAAACCAATGCGGGTTTGGTGCAAATTCCGGTGCCGGTTTTGTCCTGGAATTTTGGGGATGTTCCGCTTCGAATTTGGACATGATTCCTTCACCAAAGTTGTAGATAATGAAGTCTTCTATCTACCAAAACTTTAATGACGTGATTTTATTCAGCCAATCAAACGATATGGGTAAAACACGAAGAGGTATGCATCCTGAAATCCCACCAGCAACATCTGACTTTGTTGGTTGATTGAGTCTTGCTCCTTTCATATTTTGGCCATGACGTCTTCATAACATTTGTACCAGGGACGGAGCTACTCTCATGGTTGAGGGGGCCATGGCCCCTCCCAACTTTTTGTTTTTTAACTAATAGTACTATAATATTTTCTATTGCCCCCCTCCAAAAATTATTAGGCACAACTCTGGGAAGAAAATACCAGGTGTAAACGGCAAAGTATACGGGAAGAATAATAGTACATGCACATCATTTATCTTGGAAATTACAAGGGTATATATACGGGTTTTAATAAAATCTTACAACTTTCTTCTTTTAACTTTTAACATTATTAAAATTTATTAACATGCAAGTTGGTCAAGTTAGGTTGCTGGATTTACCTCAAATTTGTTAATTCGTTATCAATTCAATTAACAATTAATAATTAACATGATATAAAACTCAGGTGAATAGTCTTAATTAATTAAGTGGTTATGTGACTATTTATTTTCTATTATTGTTTTTGCCCAGCATTTTAGTCTATAGTCTATACTAGTTCGACCTATAAATTATTTATGTGACTTTTTTTTACGTAGATGAAAAGGCATAAAATATTCATGCACTCTTTAAATTAAAAGTAAGCATTCTAAAAAGTTTTAAATCTTAGACTAATCTTTAATTAAACACCGATCCTTTGAAATCCGAGATTCGTGACATGCAAAAGAGGCGTTTTAAATTTAAATGCTTTGGCTATTTAGTATTGTACATTTTAGTTATTATAAATAAATAGTAGTAACGTTAATATGCTATTTTCAAATTTTATATTTATATTTTTATGCTTACCTGTATATTATATTCTGGGCCCCCTTTACACCAAAGTCTGGCTCCGCCCCTGATTTGTACCTTATTGAGTTAGCATTCACATGAAACTCGAGTCGAGTGATTTCGAGTTCTATAGAATACGTTATACTCAAATTATGGGAAGAACGTCATTATCTTGGTCCAAAAAGTCGTTCATCACAATGTTTTATGATCTAGCTCCCATTCTGGAGGTATTTGCCCGATTTCTCTTTTTTTCTTCAACAAATACTTATAAATACTTATGTTAAACACAAGTAAATATAACGGCTATCAAGCTGGATCGGGTATTTCAGCATTGATAAGTGCATCAACTTCGACGCTTGTACGGTACTTGTCACTACCACAAAATAGACATTTGGTAACACTTCAAAACCGTTACATTATATATCTAAAGTGTTACAAAAAGCTCATGTCTCGTTTCATAAAGTCATGTGTAACACTTTTTCCATTTGGTGCAACATAAAATAAAAATGTTGCATAAGTAACTAAAGTTCAAGACTAACGTGCAACGCTTTAGCAACATTGTTCACAACCCTAAACCCTCATTTTTAGCAACAATAACGTGCAACGCTCTTTGATATATAATGCAACACTTCAAACTCTTTTTAGGTAGCACTTTTATTGTATTTAGGTAACATACTTTTTAAATTCTTATGTAACATAACTCAATGTTATGTAACATTTATATCATAATTTTATGCAACAACTTTGTAGAATTTTGCAACATTTTTAATGATTTGTAAGAAACAACATCAATTAGTTCATTTAATTTCTAGTTGATTTTGAGTTGCACTTTTAGTAAAAATACTAAAAGCATCAAAAGAATTATAAACTATAGTGAGGAAATATCAAACTCGCATATTAATTATGTCAGAAAGAACAATTTTACATTTTCAACAATCAACATATCAAACAATTCACCGTCAACTCTGTGTACGTACAATTAATAAAAATAACCCAAAACCTACATCAATGTTATATATATATATATATATATATATATATATATATATAGATAAGAGATCACATACTAACCATGCTTAAAATACTAACTTACTAACTCAATAATATGCAACACATTAAACTTCAATATGCAGTACAAATAATGTAAAGATGCACACTTTGAATTTCAATATGCAATAAAAACAATATGCAAAACTTTGAACTTTAATATGCAGTACAAATAATATGCAACACTTTGAACTTCAATATGCAGTACAAATAATGTAAAGATGCACCGTTTTTTATAGTTTGTAGGTTAGCATGGGAGGAATGGTTAGTATGTGATCTCACCCCTATATATATATATATATATATATATATATATATATATATATATATATTACAGACTAAGCTAATACCAACTATAATCCACCGACAACCAACTAAATGAATGAAAATCTTAAAGCAACAATTTTTCTAAACTCTAGTGAGGCGGTATCAACATCCCAAATCATGGTAGCAAGTTTAGCTGCAATAAAGATTATTCTTTGTTTCTCAAAACCACGTTCTTTTCGCATTTGTTGTAGATCAAAATTCTTTTTTATCTACATCTTTCACCTCAAAAAAGAAACATACATCTTTCACCTCCTTACTTTGAAAGCTCATAATTGTATCCATATGATTGGTAGACACTACTTATAGTTAAAGTTCTTTTCCCCTCAACAACATCATACTTGGCGGCGGCACTGGCTTCTTTCACACATTATGAGAAACCATCCTTTTCTGTGACATAACAGATGAGTATCCATCATTGAATACATAAAGCTGGGTATGCACAAGGCATGGAGAAATTAAGACAGGTCTTAATATCCAAAGTCACATACCTCTTTGAAATATCTCTTCAACAGTCCATGCATCAATATCTCTTCAGAAATTCCTTCTGGATACTTTTTCCTTTTGGT